GCTTTTCACTACTCAGTCTTCATTAAGACTTCCATGTGACGCAGCAAGGTTGTGGTTGCTATGCGTGACTCACTTCTAGCCTTCTGCAGACACTGGTATGCCAGGGATTCTTGCCTATCAGAATAGGGTCAAGGATGAAAACTAGAACTCCGATATCCCCCTGTGTTGGACCCGGTAGGGATAAAACTTGTTAAGATTTTTCAGACCTCAAGCAACTCCTGCAAAAGGCTGACTATAATTCTGGGACCTATAATGAGGAAAGAGACTATAGCTTTTGCATGGGATCTCATACTTTTTGTTTCACAGAAAACAGTTGCTACATGGATAGGCAAGTTTTCTGGAATAGGAAATATCTCCTTGAACACCAAGATCAGCTCCTCACCCCTGCTTTCAATCAATCCCATCACACATGACTGAATTTTCCTGTACTATAAGGCTCTTTTCTATGCAGTTCCAGATTTTGCCAAGTCATATAGCACCTACTACCTACATAGCATTTAAAGAAGTAACTGGGGCTTTGTGTATATGTGAATTTTTCCTTATGTGAAATTCTTTACAGATTTGTTTCCATCTGCTTTTGCTCTATTGTATCAACACTAACTCTCAGATCTGACAAAAGAAATTTCATAGCAGGTTAAGTAATCTGATACAGCATTTTCCATTACGAAGTGCAACTCTAGAAATTTGAATTCATTGTTGGCAACAAGCCTTTCATCTTCAAAAAAGACAAAGAACAAGAGCCAGAAATGTTTATCACTGAAAAAAAATTATTCCATTTTGGAAAGACACATATTAATAAAAATTATTCTGTATGGGAGTATAGCCCTTTTAGGAAATCATCAATAGTCTCGCCATGACAATGCAAGGTTGTCAAATGCACATGACAATGTCAGGTTGAAAACATTGGACTGAAAATGCTGGCAGAACAGGGTTACATGAAGTGGTGGCTCTTTTTTCTCTCTTCTAGGCAAATTATACAATGACAACCAGGTATAATTTGTAAGTCAATTACTAAATTAACCGATGACAGCACAACACAGATTTATTTGAAACTGACCTTCACTCAGAAAGAAATAATTCCCCACAACCCACAAGGAAGATACAAAAAGGTGTGCTTTGCAGAACTGATGGGAATTAATCTGTCCAAAAAAAACCCACCAGCTCACCTCTTTTTTTAATCAATGGGCTACAAGAAGAAAGCAAGAAAAGCCACAACTGAGCCTCCTCCTTGTAGTCATGGTGCCTCAGAAACCAGGATAAGAGCACATGTAGTCATAAGCAATAAAGCTGTTCCAAAAGTGTTGTCTCTTTTACACATGCACATAATCTCTATGAATACACACTTAAAAAAAAAATCCAATTTCTGATATAAAGTGTGTCATCTTAGAATTTAAATCAAATAGTTGTGGTATTTTTACTGTAACTGCATAGTATTTATTGCAGTTTTTAACTATACTTGCTGCATTCTAAACAGAGCTGTGTTCTTACAGACTGAAAACACTAGAAATGGTCATAGGTAATCCTGAACCACAAAAAAGTATATGGAGGCCCAAGGATGCTCTGCCTCTCTACATAATGAAAAAGGGGAAAAAGTTTTTAAACCATCTTCCAATTTTGAGAAAAATGTGGACACAGAATCGTTGTATTTAAATAACTAAGGGGTTTATGGATTGTGTTTATTGTCCATTAAAAACAAATAATTACTTACTTTATTTAACGTGCACTCAGTAATCAGATAAAATGTATGCTAAATAAATTGCTGGAGTTGGTCTGCATTAATTTCATTGTCTCTCTATCAGTCTGACAGATTTTTTTTGTATCCTGTAACCTATTAAGCTATATATATAATTTTCATAAAATTGATTACATTGCTATTTTAAAACCACCAAGCATCACAGTGAAATCAGCAGAAAAATAACTTAATGTACTTTAATAATCATAATTGTTTTGGATATAAAAGATATCAAATATTTTCTCCTGCAGATAGTTTTAAAATAAATTGTTTAGCATTACCTAAATCATAAAATTCAATTACTTCACTTTTTTTTTTTACAAAACAGAATTTTAGTATGATTTAATAACATTTTAACTAATATGTAAATGTATGCCTATCAAGGAAGTACTTTAATTGAGTCTATCATAAGAACTCACTTTCTTTATGCAAGTATACTTTAGTTGATTTAATTATCTAGCCCTCTAATTACACAGTCCATACCAATCAACCAAAATGAAGCACTTCTCTAATCTTAATTTCACATGTCAAACCACTGAATATGTTTCTGCATGATTCTCATGTTAATTAGAAAGCCAGATTTTGAATGAATGACAGTGAGTTCATGAAGAGGCTAGGGGCAAAAGCCAAGTTTTCACACAGGGCAATGCTAGTCTTTATTTACCTTTCTCCAGATCATCTGTTTCTCCACTGGATGAGATATGAGATCCAGCAGTTTTTAGTTATCTTTAAAAGAATATTTCCAGCTTTGTCCAAACTTTTTGAAATATTCTTGCCTCTTACTGCCCCCACAATCCCACCCCTCTAGCACAAGTTAGCATCTTTTGTGGGGGCGAGGTAGGAGAGGGCTGAGATCAGGAAGGATTTCCATTTTTCTTGGGGGAACTACAATGGCAAGAGGTCTTACTCTTCCATCTTTGGGTTGTGCTTACTTAAAACATCCTGAGAGGATTCCATCCCATCCAACACAGGATATTATGCTGTGCAGCAGGGAAAGCTTATAGGTTGACTTGAAGGTTTAAAATGGTTTGCATTTGCAGCTCTTGGTGGTGACCATTACATACATCAGAGGCTCCAAGAGCCACCTCGTGGGGGCAAAGGAGAAACAAGGTTTCACCAGTGAGCCCGGAGGCTACAGAAAAATGATGTGACATCTTTCTGATCTGAGTTTTCCCAGTCCCAACCTCAGGCAAGAAGACCTGAAAGGTAACTAAAGATGGGTTTGCCCCAAATTTTCATTATACCTCTTTAACTCACATTAGAAAAAATCTGAATATCCATAACAAAGAATGAGAGAAAATAAAAAGTCCACTTGGCCTTTCCCTGGCCTAGAGTATCTCACCTATTTGCAGCTAATCAGTCACATAAAGGCTATTATTTAATCTATGAAACAGTCCCACTCAGGTGGATGAGTGAAAAATTAACAGCACACATCTTTGAAAAAAATTTAACTCTTTGTTCACTGTAGTTAGCTTAAGTGCAGTATTCAAAAATTTGAGGCAGAAGGAAAAGACTGCTTTAATATAGCCACAATGTAAGTACCAGTGAGCCTAACAGGAGCAGTTTTGTAAAATTTGCCCTAACCAATTATAAGAACCTGAAATTTATTCAGAATGGTAGCTTTCATTTAATTCAATTTTCATAATAAGTGATTTTATGAAGGATAAAATTATTTTCTTACCAAATAAAAACAACAATAATGCAATCCAAGATCTGATCCAAAGTGAACTGAGATAAGACTCAGTATTCACAAAATAGCAACCATTTTTTTTGTAAAATTTTGTTGCTATTGCTGTAGCAAAAACTACATTAATTCACACCATTTACTGATCTTCAGAAAATATTCAAAGTGTTATTAGACAAGATTGTGAGCCTTTCTTCAAAGCAGATGAGTGTGAAATGAGAACTACATCTCACTTCAGTCCACTAGAGGGTGGCCTGACTTGCTCAGGGGTGTGGGATTGAATTCACACAAGAGATCCAACATTTTCTTCTTTTTGACCTGTTGATAACCAATTCTTTGTGCTTTATTATTAATCATATCCTATTATAAAGTTATTGATTTTATATACAGAGTATATATGATAAAAAAACCTTTTCTTAACGACATCTATGTAATTTATTGTTCTGTATACCTAGAAGAAGGGGTGATGATAATCACAAATTATTCTACAGTTTTTAAAACCTTCATAGTTTGTATGCCCTTTGGTCATGAATAAAAGGTCATGCCCTTTTATTCACACAGAATAAACAGGTGAAAAAACAAATCATTCACCAAATAGCACGGCATAAAGGGAAAAAGAAGAAAGAAAGGGAAGGAAAAATCTGGGCATCCTATTGTTTATAAAATTGGATAGCCATAAAAGACAGACTCAAGCAGAGAGAGATTGAGAGAAACTGACTTCTTATTTAACCAACCCCTTTCCGAGTTAATTTTTAAATTTTATTTCTCAGGAAGATGTATTACTGCTCTTGCTTTCTACTGATAAGCACAGGTAGTAAAATGTAATATTTGACAAAATTTGGAAGAGGAAGAATATGTAAAATCTTTTCCTGTCTTAAGCTTAAAAAAAAAAAAAAAAAATGGCACCAAAACTGGGGGCAAGGCACAACACATTCTTCCTGAATGGTTTCATCATACAGCATCCTCTGAACTACAGCAGCCTTTGCACAACTTCAGTGATCTCTAATAAGTTGTTCTGAGTACAGATAACAGCCCTTAAAGGAAAAAAAAAAAAATAAAAAAGAGGAGTGGGGCTAGAAAATGTGGACCTCCCAATCTGTTCTGCACAGACAGAAAGCATGCCCTGCAGCTCCCAGAGATCGGAAGAGCTGTCTGGGCGCGTTGCCGGGCTGCTCTGGCGCTCCGTCCCCGAGCAGCAGCGCTGTCACGCAGCAGACATCTTCCCGCGGCCGCGCAGCCGCGCGTACCGCGCGCATCTGGGCGCGCCGCGGCAGCGCCGCTCCCCGGGGAGCGCAGCGGCTCCGCTATTAATGACCGCTGAACAGCAGCGCCGTGTCAGTGTGACAGCCGAGCGCCGGAGCCATGCTCCGCTAACCACCATGGAAACAAGGAGAAATAAGAGCAGCTAGCGAGCTGCTCTCTCCCCCGCCTTTCTCTCTCCGCTGGATTGCGAGCCTCAGACAGGCAGGCAGCAACAGCGCCTGGCAAACGCAAGGGATCTCAGCTGGCAGCACGGAGAGTCTCTCGTGTTGTAGGATATCAGTAGATACATCTCTGTATTACAGACTGTTAGACACACGCATGCACACCGACTCACACCCACACGTACATGTGTGCTCATCTATACAGACTCTGGCTTTAATACAAGTATGTCGCTACCTGAACTAAGGATTCAAAATTACTGAGATGCAAGAACTCCTCCAGCTCTGAAACTACTCTTATTATAGGGTAAGTTCCTCTTTATTTTCAATTTTACCCTGACTTTTATCTAACTTCTAGACTCTTTCCCCTTTCTTCTTTTTGTGAAGTTATTTTATTAGTGTATTTTCACATACTACTTTCTGAACAGAAATGCAAATGCAATATGCTCTTTATGCCAGAGATAATCTAAATATGCTTGCAATAGTATTAGACTTGTGCATCTGTTAGCTTGAAAGAACATCAAAGGAGAAAAAAATATAAAAGAAGAATGTTTCCACTGATGTTTCAGAGGCAATATCAAATTAAACACTTGCTCTGTGTTTTGAAACCAATAAAACAAAATACAGGACAGCCTCCTTTCTTCTCTCCAGTGCTAGGATTAAGGGAAATGCTGTTTATGTCAAGACCTAAAAACCACTGAGCAATGAGGCTGAATGAGCATATCACAAACAGTTATTGAATTTCTGCCAGGCTACATCTTAAGGATTGTGGCAAATGACTTCGCTTAAAAACATCCCCTTTCCAGTCAGAAGGGACACTGTGAATGTCTGATTACTGATGCAGCTGGAACTGACGCGTTAGGTAAAAACGATCACATTAAGCAGAGGAGTTCTAATCTTCTTTGGTAATTAACAGGATCTCAGCAGGGTGCCTCTGTTTACATGGAAGGAGAGTGTTTTAATCCATCACTATAAAAGGTTTGCCTGTTTTAGTATAGCAAAGCTCAGAACTGTTTGTCTCTGCTTTCCATGTCTTTGTTTCCACATGTCTAGCTGGAGTTTTTGCCCAGCACTGCTGGTGAGAAAGAGAACCCAACACAGGGGGAAGGAGAAGGCAGCAAATGCAGGGGGCTAGAAAAATATCAGTGATTTTCTATTTAACCAATTTAATCAACTTAAAATTCCAGGCTAGCTCTACAGCTGTCTAATGTGCTTGTGCTTATGCATGTGTATGTCATTTCTTCCATGCAGTATCAGAGCACCTCAGTATCATTTAGATGAAAACACATTTGGTAAAGTGCATCAGCATGGATCTATGATTCATGCATCAGTGAAAGACAGAGATAGATTTTACTTTACACCATAAAAAGGACAGGTTAGCCCTCTAATGCATGCTTCAAAGTGAAAAAAAAATACAATCTGCATCTTTCTGTATGCTTTTGTTTGCTTTTTAGAGTACTACATCTGTATTAAAAACAACTCAGTATTTTGATTATTCCTCATACCCCGTTTTCTCCCTTCAGCCCCCTCACTCCTGTGAACTCTGGAGAACATCATAAAGATTCTGTTCATTTGTACCAATGTAATTATTTGCTTGTAATTTTAGAGCTGCTGTGTTCTGAGAAATAAATTGTGAAAGAACCATCAACAGATAGCCACTGGCTTTAAGTCTGTCACCTTTCCAAAAATGTCAGGAAATGGGTAGCTTAACAATACGAATGGTAAGAAGTCAATTAATTCAGGTGACCTTTGTAAATGGTGACAATAAAGCAGCTCTGACAATATGCCACAGCATTCGACATTCCCTCTGGAAAATGAATGAGCTTAAGAAGAGGCTTTCTTTTCAGAGTACAAAATGAAAGGTACTGAAGCATTAGCTCCTGCTATTGGCAAGCTTGCTTCCTCTATTTTAGGTGGCCTGTGAAACCTGTTTAAAGCAAGCTGACTTATTTTGTTATATGAAACACAATCTCTGCTCTAATTAATTAAATATCCTGTTGTCATTCACGCTGCATGTGCACAACAAGCATTTCCAGCTCCTCGTTTGGATTTTTACAAAATGTGCTATAAAATAAGTAGACAAAACCTGATTCTGATCTCTTCATGCTATCTGTAAAGGACTACTCAGAGGAAACTTTTTCTACATGCCTCAGTAGCTTCTCAGCTCTTCTGAATGTTTATCCTCATTCATTTTTAATGTAGAAAATAAGTAAATATGAGTAACTTTACAGAAATGCATCTTGGGTTTTGCCACATATACTCTAATGTGCTACTTCAAAATATTATATAGCTATGCCAAAAAGCTTCAGAAAAATGTGGCCATTTCAATCATACATGTACAGAAAACATATGCTGTAGATGAAGCTTCTCTACACAGCATAGACATTCTTAACCAGCAAAGCAGGCAAAATGTATGGTGGCTGTATTTTGGTTAATACTCCCTCAAATGTTGTAGTGTCAGCCAACGACTGGCTGATGTTGTTATGGTAACCCTGAAGTCCCGTCTTTTAGGGTGGCAGTTCTGAGCAGAACATGCCTGCTTGGAGTACCCTGAAGTGGGTGAGTACTTCATTTTTGCACCTGAATTAGAACAGATCAACTAAGCAACATTGCTGCCCGTAATGCAGATCAAAAATATAATGTATAATCTTTGGTAAATGATCAAGATTGAGCATCTTATGGAAATACTCACATCCTGCTTTTCACTTGTAATCACTTGTCCTTTGTCACTAGAAAACAAAACTAAGTATTTGCAAGAGAGAGCAAACCATTTAGGAGTGTTGGAGCCACTTTCTTTGACTCTCACCCACAACCTTTATTGTATTAACAATTACAAGCTAGCCAAAAGCTTTGCTGCTTGCTGACAATCACTCTTAATTAGACTGGTATTTAATAGCCAAGTTTTAGAATATTAAAGCAATAGAATAAGATAAGCAGTAGAAAACAAAAGACTTTTTCAAGACAGCTCTATCTTCAATTGAAAAAAAGTCACCACAGAGAAGTTACACCTTTTTTGAACTACATATAGATAGTTTTAGCGTTTCACGGTACATTACGGTTTTAGTTCATTCATATGTCCTTTCTTCAGATAGTACCATTAAAAGCTGAAGGAAAACAAAACTCTTGAGAGAGACATTGTCAGAAACTACCATAGCATACTCTTCCATGTCAAATTCCACAAACTCTACTTAATATCAAGAAGCAAAAACTGACAATGAAAAACCAATTTCACATGTAGCACTCAAGTAACTATTTTCTGAAGACAAAGGAATGGAAAGTTTCTAAAATTTTTCTGAAGATCAAAAATCAGACAGCTTCTAATTGTTTTTTTTTTAACAGAATATGACTTCTACAAGCCTTCACACTACTTTAAAAGAATACTAATTCTCATTCTAACAACACAACAACCAATTAAAATCCTTTGCTTCACTAAAAGAAAATGCCAGTAGAATTTGAGAAGAAACAGTAGTGACAGATGTCATTAGAAAGGTCATTATACACATTAGTATTAAGAGAAAAATCAATGTTTCTCATTAAAACTGTAATGTAACTGTAAAAAGGAATTACTGTGCCTTTTACTTATTTAACTGACCAGTCCACAAACTGTTAAAAGCCATTATTGTGAAATGGTGTAGTTCATAAAGAACTTATTTAAATAAACAGTATGACCTTCAGTGCTATACACAAAATCTATAAATTATTTCATCAATTTTTCCTCAATAAAGTCATATCCTCAACTGAACTGAACTGATAAATGTTTATTAGCACAGCCCATGGAGCTATACTCATCTACACCAGAGAAAGATCCAGTATGGATGTCAATAAGATTATTTCACATTGGGTTCTTTATGGAGTAGCTGAATGTGACACCTTGTGAAAAAGAGAATTTTCATGAGGGCCAAATACAAACTACTTTTACAATTTTGATTGATCCAATTCTGTCCCAACAGGATTTCATATTCTTTATACATGGAACATCAACCATAAGACAAGTTACAGGCATGCTCTGACCCCTAGCATTTACCAAACTACTTACTTTTCTTCAAAGCAAAAACAAATGCAGACATTAAAACAAAGGGGAAGTTTCATTTTATAAACACAAATTTATATAGCATATCCTCGAAACCATTATCCTTCATTTAGAAATACTGCTTTTTCACAAAAGATTTATCTCAAGTCTCTTTCAGCTTGGCCACAAGCAGCAATGGTCTAATTGAAAGGAAATGAGAAATAAGATCTCTGTATTCACATTGTTTCTATTCAGTTGTTGTATTTATGGAAATCATTAAAATATCTGCCCTAAATGTAATAGTAGGTTAACTGTACTGACCTCTGTATTAGAGTAGAAAAGAATTTCTGCCTCTTTAGTGCTCCCACAGTCTCAGTCAAACTGGGAAATGCTTTTTGACAACACTGGCACAAAAGAAATCATTTAGCTTTTCTCTTTCCTGAATAAGAATCTGTATTTAGAGGTAAACACTGCAAAGCAGAATAAAATGCTGCAGGGAATATTTTTTTTTTTAATATCTACTGATTATTAGTGTTACCCCAAGAGTATTTTAATAGACATTACTTGTTATGCAAATAGCAACCAGTCTGCCAGGAAATACTTTAAATTCTCCATAACATTTGGCATAAAAAAGGTACAAGTCATAAGTTTAGCTGTACCAAAAATCCCTGAGCATCCAGTTACTAGTATGAAAGAAACAAGAAAAAATATTTTTTATACAATTATATGTCTAGGGATCAGACAATTACAGAAATTACCTATTCAATAAATTATGGAATAATGAAACAAAAATGTGGTGTAATAGAACACACAATGAAGAGCAAAGTTGTGCATTGAGACATTTTTTTAAATCACCATAGTGCTCTATGCTATTATACCATCACCCTGTATAAGAAAAGATTACTCTCAGCCTCTCTAAAAGGCAGCATGATGGTCAGACATTGCTAGGGCTCTTCTGGTGTGGTGTTGAGAGGTTAAAGGAAACTGGCTTGGTTAGTTTTATCATGGTGCTAAAACAAAAAGTCATTCTTATTTGAACTAGAATGAGAAATATATACCAGATTTGGGAGGCATTTAAATAAGCACAATTATGGGACTCGTTCCCTGAATAAGGATAAATACAAATGTCTCCTACTTTACAACAGTAGCATATCTCTGCTGAAAACAGATATATATGTGCCATTATTTATATCATATTTATGTGATTTATTCAGTACCTAAAGACCTAATAAAATTTTTCATCTTGACAGGAATAATTTATGTGAAAACAGAAACTTTCTCAAAGATTTTAGCTAGTG